TGAGAAGCTACTGGACCAGGGGAAGATTGATGACAAGGAACTTCCTCCAGAGCTGATAGAGAAAGCAAGACTTCCCCTGGAGCTGACGCCCTGAATTTGGACTTCTAACCTCCTAGACTATGAGAGAATAAATTTCTCTTTGTTAAAGCCATACACTTGTAGTATTTCTGTTACAGCAGCACTAGATAACTAAGACAGGGCCCAATGGTTAACACTTGCTGCTAACCGAAAGGTTGGTGGTTTGAACCCACCCAGCAGCTCCACAGGAGAAAGACCTGGCAATATGCTCCCATAAAGATTACAGCCTAGAGAACCCTATGAGGGTCATACTACAGCTACTTGTTTATTAAAATGAAGTTTTTTGGCTCATAGACCAGTCATTAATTTTTGTATTATCTGTGGCTGCTTTCACACTAGGACAGGGTTGACTGGTTGGCAGAGACCATGTGGCCTGCAAAGCCTAAAACCTTTACTATCTGTTCCTTTAGAGAAATAATTTGCTGAATCCTAGTCTAGATATGGAAACCCTAACGGCGTAGTGGGTAAGTGCTATGGCTGCTAACCAAAAGGACGGCAGTTTGAATCCATGAGGCGCCCTTTGGAAACTTTATGGGGCAGTTCTCCTCTGTCCTATATGGTCACTATGAGTTGGAATTGACTCAGTGGCAATGGGTTTGGTTTGGTTTTCTCTAGATATATACCTGTTAAGCTGACTGAATATTTTTATTCTAGCTACTTATCTTTTCTCGTAGTTTCAGCCCTAACTTCTATTACTTTATTTACTTGTATTTTTATGCCTCCTGTCTTTAAGTTCATAAATTTTAAAGTTTAATAAACTTAGTTTAACTAATTTGTATCTTACGAGGTTCATAAACACCTAGCTTCGCTGAATTTTATTTTACCAGTTTTATCTTTTTTAATCAATCATTGACTTCTTTACTACTTTTAACGTTACTCCTCTTACCCCTTCTTATTTAATAACTGTAGGACGTGCATTGCAGGCAGTGACCATCTGGCCAAACCCCAATAAGACTCTTCTCCAAATCGTCTCTCTGCTATGGGCCATGTCTGAAGGCTGTACTTCAACAAGGCCCCACTCCACAATTTGGCCATGATATGAGGACTCTACTCAGCCACATGGTTCTCCAATGAGTCGTGCTCCTTTGTGGGTAACCTGATAGAAATGCCCACATCACCTCCTGACCACCCAGATCTGCTATACATTGGCCCGGCAAACAGGTCCTGCTCATCTTGGGCCAAGCTTTCCAACTGGCAGCTAGAGACTATTACCATTTAAGCTAGAGAGAGCTAGTGGCTTATTCCCCCAACTATGTTGATTTAGAATCCTGTGACCTTTATTGCATATCACCAATGGTAGAAACGGCTACCTCCCGAGCTCTAAATCCCAATCATGACTGTAGAGTTCTCTAGGGCCCTGCCTAGAGATAATTCTTTCAAGTTTCCAACTTCCATTGAATATTTACTGTGTGCCAGGCACTGTGATAGACACCAGAGATAAAAAGTTAAATAAGACATGGATTCTAGCCTCAATAATTAAGATCTAGTTGGGCAGAAAAACAAGTACAACAGTCACAATAGAGTGGGATATGTTGTTGAGATTTATTGTGAGAACAGAGAGGTGGGGCATCTGAATCAGCAAAAGCTTCCAGGAGAGAGTAAAGGGGGTAGTCTCCCA